TGCCTTACAGTTATTTTTTTTTTTTTTTTAAATTTATAATTAGATCTATTTTGTGGGAGGTTGGTGGGTGCTCTGGTGTGGTTTGCTTTTTCTTTCCTATCAAACATCTATCGTCCATATCTCCCCTTCTTTTTTTATGTTCGTTACTCTCTTGTAACACCTCTAATCTTCTGGCGCTCATATGACCTTAAGCAGTTGCGAGCGCCATAAAACCTCTACTGAAACTAACTAGATCTATTTTTTACCTTCGGTTAGTCAAAATTCTACCACGGTGTTCTCCCTTGTAATCATTCAGTAGACCCCAGCCCCCAGTTCAAAGAGTGCTGATATTATTTATAATTACTGTATTTTCTATTTCCTTTTTTTTGGGGAGGGGGGGTAGGATCAATCATGTCTTCTACAGAGTAAATCAGCTCTTTGAATGATGCGGGCGTCATGCTTGTGTAACTGGAGAATTTTTGTCATCTTTCTGAATATTCATTAAAAAAAATACTGTAATATTCCCTTAACTTCATTTCTGGTTTAACACACCGGGTGAACCTACATATTTTTGGGTTGATGGTTTTTTCCCTCTCCCTCATCCTCCTTTTCCATAGCCGCAACAATATAGCATCCTTTTCGCGTAACATCTAAGGGCACACATCTGAGACGGGTGAATCTCTCCTTCTTCTTTTTTATGTTTGTTACTCTCTTGTAACACCTCTAATCTTCTGGCGCTTGTATGACCTTATGCAGTTGCGAGCGCCATAAAACCTCTACTAAAACTAAAGCTGAGACAGGTGCGGGAATGAACAGTGATAATTTCCACCCACGCTGTATGTTCCGAGCAGTGTTTGTGACGCCAGGACGCAGGTATAATCAGTAGAGAGAGATGACACTTCGCCCGGAAGCGCGTATCTGGGTCACCAGCTGATCGTGGAGAAACGCGCGGTAAACATTAAACAAAACATACTGCGTCCATTGTTCAAGGCATTTACGTTGACGGCAGACAAGCACGGCCCCGGTTAGCACGAACTGTCAATGGTGTTCTGCTATAAACTGCACCTATTAGAATCAAAATCTGAGTTCTTTCGATTTCTAAAGGACGGCGAATATATTTTGATGAATAGAAAAATATAGATAAAAATAATGACAATGTGATTGTGGTCCTACCAGACTGACACTCCAAGCACAAACTCAACACACTTCAACTTTGTTAAATCAGCTATAGATGGGGGAGGGGGGGGGTTCCTGTCTAAATGCCCAAATAGAGCTTACATTCTACTACTAGTGAAAGATATGTTACCTGGGTCTGCGAAAAGATGTCTAGATACAAAGTGCCATCGATCGGTTTTGCTGCTTTCTTTGTCTGATTACCACTTTTTTTTTTTGG